GATTTGGACATGCAATTTTGTTTATATAGGGAGATTGCATACTCCCATCAATTAGTTTAAATAATTTTCTTCATCATAACTTTCAGGACATTCGAAGTCTTGATGACCGATACGTAAGCAATTTGCACAGAAGTTTATCTTAAGTTCTGACAATTTTTGCGTTAACTTTTGAATTTCATCATTGTTGTCAGTATTATTTTTAAATATATTTCTTCTTTCTTCCAATCTGTTATTAAACTGGTTTCTATTATAATAGTTACTTCTTTGTTCATTATTAATTATCTTATTATTATAATTATTATTTAAATTATCATTGTTGTTGTTATTCTGATAATAATTATTATAACCGTTTTTATTGTTAGGGTAATCATAATTTGGTGCATTATTATAAATTCTGTAATTTGGATTATTATTTGAATTATTGAAGTTAGAGGCATATCTGTTACTATTATTATAATTTCTATATGTATTGTAATTATTATTGTGCATCTTCTTAATTTTATCATTGTTTCCACTTGTATTTGGTAATAGATAAGATGTACTAACTTTATTCTTTGTGTTGTACATAATTTCACTATGATCTGTATTTTCTTGAAATTTATTAAACTTATTTAATTTATTGTATTTTTCTTTGTTTATTCCAGAGGGTATTGCCTTTCCTTTATTTTCTTTCATTAGGTTCATTATCTTTTCTTTCTTCGAAGTTATTTTCATGGCGTCTTCCAAGGTTATTGGTTCTTCTTCCATAAGATTTTCATATATCTTTTCCCAGTTTCTGAAAGCATTAATATAATAAGACGTTATAATTAATTCTGATAATGTGACATTTTTATTTATTTGATTTAATAATTCTGTGAATCTTAAATCAAATTCAGAGATACTTTCATCTTTTTTTATTGTAATAGAAGAGAGTTCTAAGATTTTTGAATTCTTGGAGGATGTTTTCTTATAATGTTTACTGAGATTCTTTAAAATTGTTTCATAGTTATCTGGACTGCTTTTATTTAAAGAATTATATACAATTGTTCTGGCCACATTCGCAGTTATTGCTAATAAATAATCAATTTTTTCCGCTTCTTCAATAATCTTGAATGTAGAACACCAATGGTCAAAAGAGAATTTCCATGAGTCAAAAGATATATTTGATTCGCCTAATATAGGTAATCTATTAAAAGTAATAATTTTTGTCTGGTTGTCCATTTTCTGTACTATTAGTATATATTATGTTATTTCTTATATATTTTATATTTTATATTTTAAATAATTTCCTATTTTATTAATTATTATTATTATTTTTTTTATTAATTAATTATTGTTGATATTTTTGATAATAATTATTGTCTATACTATTATTAAATGATAAGTTTTTATAATTTATTATTATTGTCTTAGAATATAATCGTCAAATATTTATATTTTCAATATTATTACTAATTATTAATTATTAATTTTTTTTTTTTTTTTTTTTTTTTTTTTTTTTTTTTTTTTTTTTTTTTTTTGTTATTTATCCTTTTATATTTATTATTATTATTATTATTCAATATTTAGTAACTGTTTGTGATATGTTATTTATTAGTGTCTTAACTATTTTATTTATAATTATATAATTTCAGTTTATATATATATATTTTATATTTTCTATTATTTTAATATATCTTGCATAATATAATTTATTTTATTGTTAATTTTTTTTAATTTAATTATTATATCAAATCACGTAACAATTTATATATTTAAAATATTATTTATTATTATTTGTATATTTTATATTTCAATTGTTCAATTAATGTATACAAATCACTTATATAAATGTATTTATATAATTCCATATATTTTATTATAATTGTTATTAAATATTATTATTCACTATTAATATATATTTTATTCAATAACATATTTCTTTTTATTTCTTTTACTATTAATTATTTTTTTTATCACATATATATTTTATTATTTTAACGTGTAATTATTGAATTTTTATGTTAAATTTATTTATTAATTATATAATTTAATTTATTTTTCAATTTTTAATTTTATGTTGCATTTTTATATATATATATAAATTTATAAAGTAAATATTAATACTTAGCTTCACCGGCCTTTTGAGGATTCTCCACCAAATTTGATAAGCGTTTAATATTATCTTAATTTATAATTGATTAATTATAAAAGTGATAATATTCTTATCAATTAATTAATAAGAGAAAAGTGTTTAAAATTAATTTTTATTATAGAATTATTTGAGATATTCTAATTAAACATAACAATTATTAACAAAAATATAAAAGTTATGTTTTAAAACACAATTTTAAAATATATTTTTGAATCAACTTTTTATTTAATAAATTTATTAAAAGTATTGATTGATTTTCTTTAAATTAGGAAATAATTACATGTATTTATAATTTTCTTTCTATTTTAACTTTTTAAAATAAAATATTAATATGTTTTAAAATAATAATGAACAATAAATAAAAATAAACAATTTATTTTAAAGTAATTAGTTTAATTAATATAACACTATTTAGCTATTTAAAATATTATTTATATTATATTTATTTTATAATAAAATATAATTTAAACTGAGTTTTAATATATAATTTTATACTTTTAATTAAATATTTAAATATTATTATGATTTATTATTTATTTTAAGTTGTTTTGAGGATTAGTGTAAAAGTTTTACTAAACTTATAATTTAATATTAAAATATCAAATTAAATAAAAGGTTAAAAGATAACTAGGTTAGAAAAAAAATGTTTTATTAAAATAATCTTAATTGATTTATAAATGAATAATTAAATTATATATTATGGTTAAAATAATTTCTTTTATTTTATTTAATAATATATTGCTAAAATATAATAATAAGATTATTTAGTAGTAATACTCATTAAGTATTAATTATTATTAATAGTTAATAATTTCTAGTTAATAATCTATAGCTAATAATTCATAGTTAATAATTTATAGTTAATAATTTATAGTTAATAATTTAATAATTTATGGTTAATAATTTTTGGTTAATAATCTTTACAAAGATTTTAATTTCATAAACTATTCTAAACTATTTATACTATTTGTAATTTTACATTTAATAATAAAATAACTTTTCAATACATGATTATATTCGTAATATATTTTATAATACTTAAACTAAACTTAAGACTTATTCCTAATTATTAAAAAATAACTATTGTTTATAATATTCATAATATTAATTATTTCTTAATTATAATATAATTCATTGAATATAATATTAATAATTATAATCCTCTAGTTCAAAGATTATAAATTATGTTATTGAAATAATTATTATAAAATAAAGTTAATTAGTTCCGGAAAATAATTTTGATTTAATTAAACAATAATTTTTATACTTTGAGTGAATGATTTATGTTTGATATATCAGGGGTGATCATTCTCTGAATAAACAATTAATCATTGCTAACAAAATATCTTTAAATTGGAATATCTCGTGAACCAGCAGAGATATTGACCTGATTTTAAGATATGTTGTTTGTCTCGAGCGTGGCTTTCTAACGAACTTAATTATAACCAAAACATTTTTATTCAAAAATCGTCATTCGTTGAGGAGATACGCGTGTTTTTTCTTATTCCATTTTAACGATAAGGGTTAAAGTTATTTATTATAAAAATTATTAAGGGTTAAGGTCATATTTTAACCTTTCCTAAATTTTTAAATATTTCTTAATAAAATTTTATAATTTATTTGAAAATAAAATATTTGTTGATTTTGAATTTTCATAAGTGATTTCACAATTCCAAGTGATCTTGAAATTGTAATTTCACTAGTATTCGTGACAATTAGTTTATATTAATATTATAATTTCATATTTATTAATTTCAATTTATATCACAATGATGCGTTGACCGATATATTTTTGAATAATATAATATTTTTAATAAATAATAAATTCTAATATTTATGATGAAACAATAAATTTAAAATAAAATAAAATATGTTTTATAATTAACAAATAAATCACTCAAAAACTCGAAAATAAACTCTTTTTATTATGTTTAAATTATCTCTTTATTATATTTATAATTTATTTATTGTCTATTTATTGTCCGCCCCTTATAAAGAAGAATTTTATCTTCCTTTTATACATTTTCATTTATTACATGTATTATTATTTTTAACTATTAAATGTTATTATTACTATTGTTATTATTTATTAAAATTAAAAGAATAAATTAAAATTATGTCTTAGTATTATAAAATATTATAGAATATTACTTATTTGATTTTCTTATTACTTCAAAATGTTTAAAATTAGAAAAACTATTATAAATTATCATTAACTATCATTAAATGTATAATACCTTGAATAAAATAATTAAAATTTAAAATTAAAATAATATTAAATTAAAATAAAAATTAAAATAAAAATTGAAATAAAATTAATAAAATCAAATATTAAAAGTATCAATTAATATAAACACATTTTATACAGAAACATAAAAGAGTTCTGTATTTTATCTTTAAAATTGTTATTATTGTTCTATTTCCAGGCTTTAAATTAATCACTTTTAGTAATAATTACTCAGTTATTTATTTGTTAATTTATATATATAAGTTTGAAAGAATTTCTAAAGAACACTTGGATAAAACACTAGAATTAATAATTTAATGTATATCATTTTATTTTTTTAGTTTATTTATTCATTTTTATTTACTTATTATTATTTTATTATTTTAATACATTTTTGGATTGAGTCGTTTTATTTTATTTAATAATTTATTTTATTATTATCTCTATTAAGTCGTTTTTATTCATAATTTATTATTTAATAAAGAGAATATTATTTATTTAAAAGAAAGGGTTATATTTCCATAAAATTATTATTTATTCATTTTTAAGGGTTATTATCTTTTATTTTTATTATAAGTCGCTATGGGTTAATTCGTGTTTATTCGGCTAGTTTTTATTACGTTTTTATGTGAGTAGCGTATCAACAAAAGTAACGTAAAAGGGGTGTTAGCTCAGCGGTAGAGCAATTGACTGCAGATCAATAGGTCTTCGGTTCAAATCCGGAACGCCCCTTTGTTTATTTTAATTATTATTTTAAAATAAATATTAACAAAATTTTAAAAGTAACTATGAAAACTCAATATTATATACATAAATCAAATTGTAGAAGGTTTATTATATTTTCTATAAGAGAAATAGATTTACTATGTTATTTTACATAAAAAGTATTACAATAATAAATAAATAATAACCACTCATATAAGCTAATATTGTAAATAATGTTTTTTATTAAAATTTATAAATATATTAGTAATTAAATAATGAATAAAACTAGTTATATATAATAATAAGTGTTTGTTCGCCTTATTTCTCTTATTACTATAAACTATTTTTGACTATTTTAAATATAATAATTCTTTATTATTAATTTTTTATTATATTTATTATATTATTTTACTTTAATACTAACACTAAAATATTAGTGTTTGTTTACCTATGCTTTCACTTATAATATCATTAATCTGTATAAATTATTATTGATTATTATTTTATAATATTATTTACTATAATAATACATGTCCATTATTTAAATATAAAATTAAATATTATATCATATTATAAATTAAACATAAATTCATGGAAATTTTTTTTTGAGTAAAACTTATTAATTCAATATTAAATATTAAATTATAATTAAAAGACAAGTAAAAATTAAACTAAGTCAAGAAAATGTTTTATTAGAAATTTTATTAACAAATAAAAAAAATAATTCTTAAATTATATAATATAATATTATATAACTTAATAATAAAATTTGATAATAATCTTAAATTCATAAAATTAATTCTTTGTAAAGATTATTATTAACTAAACCATTTATATTCTTTGTAAAATTTAATAATAAACTAAGTTTCAGTGAGCGTCGAGGCTGAAGATTCAGTATGACAAACCAGAAGGGTCAAAACCACCTAGCAATAGGAAAGAGCCAACGTTTCTCTAAGAACCACCATTTGGGGCCTACTCTGATTGATGGAGGAAATGTAATTTTCAATACATGATTTATATTCATAATATACTTAATAATATTAAACTAAACATAAGAATAACAATAATATATATATTTATTAACTAAATATCAATAATATTAATACTAATTATTATATAATTATTATATAAATAATTATATGTAGGTAAAATAACATAATCCTTTAATTCAAAGATTATGAAATATTTATTGAAGTATTAAAAATAAAGTTATTATCTTCGAATTATTATAATTTAATTTATTTTATTTTAATTTTACAGAATGATTTATGATTGATAATTAGGGGTGGGGTGATCATTTTCTGAATTATCAATAATCATTTGTATTTAAAAATCTTTAAATGTTGATATCTTGCGAACCAGCAAAGATATTATGCTCGTATTAACATATGTTGTTGTTCTTGAGCATGGCTATCTAATGAATGTTGTTTCATCAAACATTATTATTCAAAAACCGTAATTCGTTACCGAGATACGATTGTTTTTCGTTATTGAATTATGACCTTAAGGGTTAAAAGTGTTTATAATAATTTTTGAAAGGGTTAAAGTCATGTTACTTAGAATTTTTAATATCTATAATATAATATCTATAATATTATTTTATATCTTTTAAAATTTGATAATAATTAATTTTTTACTATTTTAAACGTAATTTCACAATTTCAAGATCACTTGAAATTGCAAATTCCACTAGTATCCTTGATATAACGAAGAAGAAGTATTTTGAAAAGTTATGTTATAACAACCAATTCGTTATCAAAAATGATACTTTAACTGATATATTTTTGAATAATATAATATTTTTAATAAATAATAAATTCTAATATTTATGATGAAACAATAAATTTAAAATAAAATAGAATATGTTTTATAATTAACAAATAAATCTCTTTAAAACTCAAAATAAACTCTTTAATTATGTTTTAGATTATCTTTTTATTATATTTTTATTATTTATTTAAATAATAAAAATTATTTAATTTATAGGTGTTAACTTTTACACCTAAATGGTTTAGTTCTATTTTTAGTAACAGTCATTATCATTAATTAAATTAATATAATTAAAATTCCTATTGATAAATTATTCTAAACTATTTATACTATTTGTAATTTTACATTTAATAATAAAATAACTTTTAATACATGATTCTTAAGACTTAATCTTAATTATTAAGTTTAAGTATTGTTAATAATATTTATAATATTACTTATTATTTAATTCTAATATAATTCATTGAATATAATATTAATAATTATAATCTTTTAATTCAAAGATTTTAAGTTATGTTATTGAAATAATTATTATAAAATAAAGTTAATTAATTCCGGAAAATAATTTTAATTTAATTAAAACAATAATTTATATCCTTTTGGGTGAATGATTTATGTTCAATACATCAGAGGTGATCATTCTCTGAATAAACAATTAATCATTACTAACAAAATATCTTTAAATTGGAATATCTTGTGAACCAGCAGAGATATTGACCTGATTTTAATATATGTTGCTCATCTCGAGTGTGGCTTTCTAACGAGACCATAATTTCCCAAAACACAATTATCCTAAATCGCCATTCGTTAAGGAGATACGCGTGTTTTTCCTTATTTAATTTTGACGATAAGGGTTAAAGTTATTTGTTATAAAATTATTAAGGGTTAAGGTCATATCTCAACCTTTTATAAATTTTTTAAATATTTCTTAATATAATTTTATAATTTATTTGAAAATAAAATATTATTGATTTTGAAATTTTATAAGTAATTTCACAATTTCAAGTGATCTTGAAATTGTAGATTTCACTAGTATTTGTGACATCGTGTGTTAAGTTTTGGGATTCGGTTATGCGACCAGGTCAGAATGTTATTAATTATATAGTAAATATGTTTTTTAAGAAATTAAATTTAAATATAAAATAACACTTTAAACTTCCAAATGAAAAATTAATATTTATTTTTTAGAATAACCTTTTATAAAATTTTATTTATTTAGTAATAATAATATAAATGATAATATATTTAATAACTATATAATTAAGATTATAACTATAATCTTTACAAAGAAAATCGAATTCAAATCATTCTATTTTATATTCTTTGTTCAGATTATTTAATTGATAAAAATAAAGTATTACATGTAATATATTAATAACATAATAAGATTGTTTGTTTGTTTGTTTGTTTTGTCATGACATAAAAATAAAATTAACATATGATTAATCATTTAAACACTTGATCCATACTTGATATCATATTAATTTTAATTTACTTATTAAAATCTTCAAATGACCATATCTTTCTTAAATGACCAGTTAGAAGGACCGCGATTGTACCAAAATATAGCTTTTTCCTTAAGCTTTCTAATAAACCTAGTTTCATAGCCGTAGTACTTACAGCTGTAGCGCTCGTTTTTGGCGAGCTATGCCTTGTTTCGTGCTTGTTTATTTTTGGTTAAGGGTTATAGTGTATTGATATTAAATTTTTGAAATCATAACCCTTTCACTGAATCAAAATTTAAAAGGTGACTTTTAAAGGTGTTTTAAAATAATTATTGAAATTATTTAATTATAATTATTATGCTTAATTAATTATAGATATCATCTAAATTTGTTTTAAATCCAGTTAATATCTTCACATCGTGTTTATTCAGTTAGTTTTTATTATATTTTTATATGAGTATCATGTTGAATGATACGTTATAAAATAAAATATCATAATATTATTATTTATTTTGAGGTTGTGGTAATAAGGAATATTGCTGAAATAATATATTCCAGTTATTAATAATTATGTGATATAGTTATTATGTATTTATTTACTTATTTATTATTATTTATTATTATTATTATTATAAACAAAATAAGCCTTTTATTATTATTAAATATTTATCTTTATTAAAATATATTATAATTAGTATTTTTACATTTATTTATTATTAATAATACATATTTAAAATAACTATATTTCCTATATAAATATACTACTTATTCACTATTAATATTACTAAACTATTACTAAATTTCTCATTTTATTATATCTTATTATCTTTGGAACTTAATTACAAAATCAAGAACATCATTTTAATTATTTAATCATTAATTATATTTATATTAGTACATATTAAATATTTTTTTTTTAATTAATTTCATATTAATTAATTTCATTATTTATTAAAGTTATTATTAATTTATTATTATCTTAACCCTTATATGAATTAACCTGGAATTTTTACCAAAAGTAGTATTTTCTGTTCGTCACGTATCATGAAAAATTAATAAAGTCAGTTTGTCCGAGTGGTTAAGGAGTCAGACTTGAAATCTGATGGGCTCTGCCCGCGCAGGTTCAAACCCTGCAGCTGACGTTTTAATTAATACTTTTTAATAATTACAATTAAAAAAATGATAAGAAAAAAGATTTTAAAAACTAGGTTTAAAAACTACAAAATATATAATAAATAATTTTTAAGCCTAAAAGCAAAATTTAAAATTGTCATAATAATAAAATAAATTTAAATAAATTTTTTACTAATAAAAAAAAAATAATAAAGCACTTAATATTTAATGGCAAAATATAAATAAAAAATATTCCAACTAATTCCTTTTTTATTTAAGTAGTTCATATATAAATATTTTTCTTATTATAAAACAAGAGAATTTTGAAATTTTAAAATACTTTTATAATCAAGTTAATTTTTAGTTCTATTCATAATTACTTTTAATAACACAAAGTTTTTATTATTAATTAATTATTAAAATTTATATAATTAATTATTAGTTTTATTTTAAATTACTATATATAATTATTATTGTATTGCAAAGTATATATATCATTAATTAACAACTTTAGTAAATAATAATTATAAAAAAAAAAAAAACAATAATAAGTTATTTGTTATTTTTATAACTTATTTGTAATGTTATATTACTTAATTTTATTATGCATTTTTTTTATTTATGATTATATTGAATCATAATTTTGATAACATAATTTTTATAATAGACTTATCTATAAAAATAGTTACATAATTATAA